ATAATAATAATAATAATAATAATAATAATAATAATAATAATAATGTTTCTACCCTATGACTAAATCTGACTCCATCTGAGGGGCATGCATAAGCCTACCAGCCCTGTCTCTAGTATCTCCGGGAAAAGCATCCTCCTTGGGAAAGACTATGACTAAGGACTGTGTTTCAATTTCAATTTCAGTTATAGTAATTATCTCCAGGTGTGCATGTACACATGGAAATCAACACATAGCAATCAACTCATGCAATTCTTAGCAGCCTTTGTTTTCCATATTTGCTTTCTTGTATACACTGGCTGGGCAGTGCATGCGCTCTTTTCTGCAGTGCCTGGCCACCCGCTTTTGATGGGTATTACCTCAGTTGCTGCAAGATGTGGCAAGGCAGCCCTGCTGCTTCTGAGGGCCCTGCTTTGCACAGTCTGTCGACTGACTCCCTGGACCTCTTCCCCAAGGGAGTGCCCATAGGCACTGCTATCCAGAAAACCCTAGTGCTCTTAACCGAAGCCAAGGAACCCATCGAGACTGTAATCTAAGCACTTTGCCAATAGGAACTCATTCCCCACCAACATCGCATGTGCATGCTCTCTTGAAATGATTGTGCTCTTTCATTCTTCCCATGCCATGCAGTGAGAGTTTCATGTAGGAACCCCAGAACCAGAAAGGATGAGGCAGTCCAATACATGCTACTGCGTTGCCTTCCCCCACTCCCAATTTACTTACCAGGCAAGAGCAAGGGAAAACCTGGCCCTCTGAAGGTAACTCCGCATGTCTCCCTACGAGGCATTTCTCATCCACAGAGATTCAGCAAAGCTAAAAGAAATGGCTTTCCAAGGGATGGCATGTGCCAAAGAATGGAGGAGAACTATTTAACCCCCTGTCCCCAGGTTCCACTCACCTCTTCCTGTGAAGCCATTACTATCAGCCAAGCTGCTTGCTCTTTGCATTATAAAAGTTAGTCCACTAGGAATCCTGGTGTTGGATCTGCTGATATTTTTGTCGAGCTATCCAGAATTTCTGGCTGAATCATTGTAATGGATGTCATTATGACTGGCGTCAGTGTAATTCAACCTGCCCAGAGGTATCCGGTAGCTGATGGTGGCATTGCTCCAAAGACCACGAAGGCAGCAATCTTTTTAATTAACTGTAATCAGGAAAAGGAACATCGGTGTATTTGCAAACACATTCAGCAACCTCACATGTGGAGAAGAAATGCAGTAAGGCTATATAGTCTGCATGTAAGAAAAGCAAAATAACATGTGAGTGACTGTCAGTACTGTTGACTGAATGTACAATGTTGTATAAAATATTCATTAATACAATTAAATATTTTTTCTGAAAAGTGCAAGAGATATATGTTGACCTTTTCTTTTCAGGCAAAACATATGATAGAGAGGTCCTCCTGGCGCCATCATTATTTGTTTTTCGGCACCAGGCTAAGACCTTTTTATTTCAATGATATTTTAATAACTTTTAATATCAGTTTATAGGTTTTAATATGCAGCCAGGGTAGATCTGGATTTTATCTGTATTATGTTTTATTTTATTTATGTAAGCCATCCTGGAGCTATGCGATGGGATGGCATACAAATGCTCTAAATAAATAAATGATAGTGGTGCCTCAGTTGGGCAGAGTATCTTCATTAAAGGATCATGCCTGGGGGTAGGAAAGAGCATCTTAAAACATTATGATTAGATAAATTGCCAGCTCAATAACAGAGAACAGTTGGGCTTTCAAAAATACCAATGAGATAACAGTGGGTTGGTATTCCATTAGAAAGAAATCAAAAAAGAGAAACTAGGTCTTGGTGTCAGCAGTGATGCAAACACATTGCAGCCTAACATGTTTTGGAACAATATGCTCTTTCTTCAGTGGCGGTCCTGTAACATCCAAATTCAGTTGCCCTAAAGGTGCAAGTACGCTGATGCAGCCTGTTCTCATAATTTTGAAGCTTAAGATTGCCCCTTGAAGAAGGAGCTTATTTGCCCAAAATGCAGAAGGCTAGAAGTCTCCACTGGTGCCCTTTGGAAATTTGATCCTCACATTGCTTTGTTTCTGGTTCTGTACAAGGAAAGGTTCCATTTGAGGAAAGGTTGCTTGTGAGGTTGCAAAGTCTGAAATTCCAGAAAAAAGGCAAGTAAGGGAATACATGATAGAGGTGTGCACAATTACACATGGTGTGAAAAAAGTGGACAGGGGAGAGTTTTTATCCCTCCCCCTTAATACTAGAACCCAAAGGGGTCATCCCAGGAAGCTGAATGCTGGCAACTGCAGGAAGGATAAAAAGAAGCACTTCTTCACATGGTATATAGTTAAAACTGTGAATTTCGCTACTGTGAAATGAAGTCATGGCCACCAACTGGATGGCTTTAAAAGGGTGTTCGGCAAATTCATGGAGGTGAAGGATATTGGAAGAGGAGGATATCAGACGAGACTACCCATGATGGATGGACACACACACACACACACACACACACACACACCAGTACTGGAGGCATGGGATTTTCAGTACCCATTACTGGGAAACATGGGCAGGAAGCTGCTATTGCTCTCACGGCCTGCCTCCTTGGCTTCTGTGGGAAAAGAAGATCGGACTAAGGAAGCCTCTGCTGTGAATCTGGAGTGTCTTGAAAGGGTGTAAATTGTTATTTGATGAATTAATATTGTATTTTGATTCCCAGGGAAAGCCATCTGTGGAATTTACTGTCCCATGTGCCAAAAAGCTTCAGTCGGTGTTCAGGACGATGGAACTTGAAACAGGACACTAGTTTTGTCCTGCCTGAGATGGCCAAACATCCTTGGCCAGCCCTGCATAGCCCAGCATGGAGACTGGTTTGGGATGACGGGAGCTGTGGGTCCTCCAGATGTTTTAGCCCACATCCAGCTACATGAGGTCCTCCTGTGATGATCTGAATCAGCAAAGGGCAGCTTCCTTTGTCCCATTACAAAGCAGACTTGACGTGAAACCTGAGCCATCACTTTCTGGTGGTATATTAACTGAATTTCTCCACTGCCAAATAACCAGAGCTCTCTGAGCAGTTCACAGAAGAGGGAGAAAAGATGGAACACAAGAACAATAAAATGTAATGTTAAATTTAGACCATTTAAAATGGCCAAAGAAAAAAAATTGAAGTAAAACAACAAGAGAGGACAATAGAAGCACTGGGATGATCAAAAAAGTATGCAAGCATTTTTTAAATGGACAGATTAAGATCTCTGGACAAATAAAAAGCTTTTCACCTTGAACTGAAAAAATCATTATTATTACTGCCATTATTTTACATTTATATGCTGCATGTTTTCCTCTTGTGACAAACTGATGGCAGCTCATATAAGCTGCCTCCGCCGCCTCCACCCATTTCCATGCATGTCCTGATTTTTCTTCTTTCATTCAGTCTCTGTGCCCTTCGTTCTTTTGGTTGTTTATCTGTTCATGATGTTGATATCCCACATTTTCCTGCAAGGAACCTGAGGTAGCTTACATAATCCCCCTCCTCTCCATTTTATCCTCATAACAACAACCCTGTGAGGTAGGTCAGGCTGAGAGACAGTGACTGGCCTACCATCACCCAGAGTGCTTCATAGTTATAGCGGGAACTAGGACTCAGATCTCCCAGTCAGAGTCACCACTATATCACACTGGCTCTCAGTAATGCGTCAGGAACACTGAGGGCATTCCACAGAATTATATCTTCATCTGTTGACTGCTTTTCTGTCCAACTGGGAATACTTCTATGGCCATTCACAATCATAGAGTCAGACAATAACAATACAAGAGCACCTCTTCCAAACCAAGCTCACAATAAAACTATTCAAAGGACACAGCCGTAAACATTAAAGACAGGAGAGGTGCCTTCCAAAGTAGACACCTGTAGTCCTCCAAACTCAGAGGTTTATGGACATCCAGTGGAACACAGAAGAATTGGGGCGGGGGGCTCAGCTGGCCTCTGTGGTCCCCGTGTCCCCATGCCCAGCCCTGAGATAGCTTATTTCAGCTCTCCAAAGGTCCTTCTCTTCCTTGGGAGGAGGAAAGGCTTTGCCACCCTGCTCCTGCCTCCCTGTACCCAGAAAGTCCTCCCCTGTGCCTGCTCCAAAGACAGGCCTCTGTGTTTGTCGCACTTCAGAATGCACATGCATCACATTATGGTGTTGTTCTCCTTCATTTTGCTAGAAGCTCCCTGGCTTGGATTTTTTAAAAAGTCAAATGGTTGGGGTTTTTTTGGGGTTTTTGTTTTTGTTTTTGTTTTTTTTTTTGGTGAGCCACTTTATTTCTGGTTTTGAGGAAAGTAGCATACGTGCACATGCACTCGAACGCAAGCACACATGCGCACACAAGCCATGGCTCTCACCCTAGGCTCCCAAACAGACATCCTACACTAACATTTCATCCACGATGACTCTGGACTTCCCTGAGGTAAATTAAATTCTTACCTGGGAAATGTTGATCTAATTAACTAATAGCGAGTAAAATAGAGGACACTGAGGCATGTGGACATTTCAACTGCCCTTTACATGACCAACCCCTTGCAGGTACAAACTTTCTAAGTTGCATTCTCTCCTCCTCCTCCACCTCCTCCAGCCTGCCTACTGTAATAATTCTAAGAACCACAGCATGCTGTAAAAACAGGATATCGCCTTCTCTCAAAAAGATCAAAGGAGGTTTTGAGGTTTTGATTTTTATCTTAGCAGAGTCTGACTCTCCCCTCTTTCTCTGCAGATTTGTCTACACACATTAACAAAGGAGAATGGAGGAAATGGCGGCTCCTGGGGCAGAGCTCTATACAAAGGTCTTGAACAAGAATAAAAAGAGAAGTATCCAGTCGTTCCTGGAACCTCTCTTGGCCTCTGGGTTCTCTGTACATACAGCGTGAGTACTTCTGCTATTACTTTGCCACAAAACGCCTATCTGCTTACAAGTGCTTATAATCTTTTTTTTTTAAGCTACGCGGGGAGTAGGCCACTATCTCCCTTGGCATTATGGACAGTTTAGCTGTATTTGCTATCACAAGAAGATGCTCGCTCTTTTCAGTCCAGAACAATTTGGGTAAATTCTTTGGCATCATTGTGCCAAGTTCAATCAAGTCGCATTCAGCTGAGGTAAACTCGAACCAGACATTTGTACCATTTGTATCTTGCTTCAGATTTATCATGGCTAAAATTCTGGATGGATTGTGGAGGGCACATGAAACTCTAGTAATAAGTGGCTAGTGCATCGTAGAACATGTGGATTTGGAATCTCAGGAGCTCGTGTTGTACAATAATGATTATGCTGTAGTATCTACATCTAAATGTTGTGTAAAAAGCTTTAAAGGACAGGCCCTGACCACAAACTCGCAACAATTTAACTAATTAAGTATAATTTCTTCTCTGGTGCTAGTGGGCTTAAGTTATAGGAAGGTAGATTTCATTCAAGCTTTAGGAGAATCTTCTTGGTGGGAAATTCAACAATGTAACCAGTTACCAAGGGGGATGTATCATCTCTCCTTCGAGGGGCATCTTCGAGTGAGGCTGCTCAGCCATTTGCTGTGGATGCTCTGCCTCTGGTTCTCTTGCATTGAGCAGGAAGTTGGACTGGATGTCCTTCAGGATCCCGTCCCATGCTATGCTTCTAATAATGATTCATTCCATTTCCTCTTTGTGACCAGTTGCTACTATTTTCTGTGGAACTAGATGGCTTCCAAACAAGTGGCAGTAGTAACTATTTTTTTCTGGTTTTAACTCCAGTAGTACTGGAGTATTGAGAATGAAGAACAGAAGAAAGCACAGCACAGCTTGTTAGCAACAACAATGGCAAGGTGATCCATACATTCCTATTACCAGCCTGAGAAAAGGTAGCCCAGGCAGGAGAAATTGCACTTGGAAATATAAGGGGAGTTAAACAAAGAGTTATCCTCTGATGGCAGTGGCATCCATCCAGTTTGGTTCTGGAATTATGGCTCTAAAATGAGCCCAACAGATTAAGCAAATGCTTAAGCTTGAACTAAAAATGACAAGTTTAAAATTAGTGATACAAAAAAGAGAAGTAGAAAGAAAAGGAAATAAACAAATTCAATTAATTCCCTGTTGTCTTTATATCTGGTTCATTGGTAATTCTATGTATTTGTTATATGAAAAGAAAATATGATAGCATGTGAACAGTTCTTCAGCCAGCGTGAGGAAATGATGCAAATGAAATATTTCCTGTCGTGAAGATAAAAGCGTCTAGGAAAGCATCATCTACTCAATTTCTGTATGTGAAGCAGGTAGAAAAGACACAACAGCAGACCTGGAGGAATGTGCCTTGTCATTATCACTGTTAGGTGCACTTAATGTACTTTAAGTGCTTAACAATTATTGTTTTATTATTCTGTGTACTTAATGTACTTTAAGGGCTTTAATGTAGCTTAAGGGCTTTCTCAGTGGCCCTTCTCTTTTTCTTTTGATAAGTCCAGTAGCTGACCTGTGAAGGTATTATACTTGGTTTTACCGGACTGATTTTGTCAATACTTAATTGCCTTGTATTTATGTTCTACTGCTGCATATTATTACCTTGTTTTCAAATTGCAATGCCTTGTTTTTATGTGTTACTGTATTTTATTGCTGTTGAATTGCATTTCATTCTATGCTTTCACATTTGTATGATTTCAGATAGCTGCCTCAAGCATTTGGTGCTTACTGTTCTTGTAAAAAAGTACCAAAAAAATAAAAAAAGTATTTTAAAAAGGTCATCTGGTGAGAGGCGTTCCCTACTTCCCTGCCATCAGGAATGAATGCTTTTTCTAAGGCGCTGGCTGTTGAGTTATGGCAAGCATACTCTAAAACCAAAGCAAGCATGCCTCTTTGGTTGGAAGAATTATTGATTCATTGACAAGTTTAGGCAGACCTAAATTTATTATCAGCCAATGAGGCCTTTCTCATGCTCGTATCAGTCCGGCTGCCACGATCTTGGATTTGCACAGTTTTTGTGTCTCAACAAAAGTTACACTGACCCTAAGGTGACCATTGATGCATCGCCAAAACAAACAAGCAAACAAAGGAAGTTCATCATGAAAAGACAGGACAATAAATATGTATGTGCTAATCAATATATATAAATGCTAATGTGCATATGCTAATATATATGCACATATAAAGCTTTTTATATTGCATTAAAGCGAAATGCAACCCACCTCACCATCATAGTGGGGAAGAGTAGGTTCAGGTGACTTATATCTCTGCCTGCTCAGTTTGCTGTCCAGAGATGAAAATTTAATGGCTATCTTCATGTCCTCTTTCCCCATGTGATTCTTTCTCACCAAATCTGACTTAGACACAACAGTCCTTCCAACAGAGAAAGTCTTCAACTAGAGGACCATCCTCTGGCGACCCTATAAATAAAGGACTGTGTTCTGAAAAATGGACACACAATTGACCTACAACCAGCTTTTCAGTAGACAAACATTATGCACCTCTAATGCGTTCTAATGCTGTTGTTATTTGGTTCACCATAGCCTTTCCAAAGTTTACTGAATCCAGTGATTCTTTGGGTCTGGCAGGGCCGGATTAACATAAACAGTTTTTAATATAGATAAACAATTAACACTTACATGATTCATCAACTTCAGGTGCAGTCCTGATACATGGAAAAGTCTCTTGGACAAAAGGACAGTGAGGTCCTCAAGATCCAAGAAGGACCTACTTCTCCATGGGCAGAGAAGTTGGTCCTGCTTGGATAGTGGTGGAACTTTCTAATATTGCCCTGCTATCCTGTTGGGCTAAAAAAAAATACCTATCTGGGAACAAGAGGGTTAGGCCCTTCACTCCTTTAAACAGAGCTGGAAAACACAAACATAATAAATTATCTCCCATTGAAAACATGGGAGAGGGGAGGAAAAGAAAGCCCAAGACAATGGCCTCACACTTTCTCCTTTAGCACAAACATTTTGAAATAGCAGAATTTTGTTACCTTAAGATTTTTTTTTTATAGGTCGATAGCTCATTGTACTCAAAGAGTGAAGAAGCTAACAACTTCCTAAATACAACATCGACAGAACTATTTTCAGAAGCAGACTCTAAATTTAATTAGTGTATTGAGCTGAGTTCAAAAAACACCACCACGGCTGAATAACTACGGGGAAGTATATAAGTCTCAATGTAATGTTGTCTTTCTTTTCTCAGAGTGAGTTTCTTGTTCATTCTGTAGGCTAAAAGCTTTGGCAGCGACTGGACAAAAGACGGTAGAAGCAGCAGCAAAATGGTGCGTGTGTGCAAGCTGAACTTCCAGACAGCACAAATTAGAAGCCCTTGCTCCAGTAGATGTGCTTCTGAACTTGACATCATAGGAATGGATCCAGCAAGATCACAGGAAACATGAATATATCCAGTTATGTACTGGTAGATTTTGAAGGTCATTCTCATCATGACAGCCCTCATAAGCACACCCCCAAGGAGAGTCCAAAAATGCAGGCACCTATGTTGATATCCATGTGCCTGAGCATCTCCACTCCCAAAAGAGCAATATTATTATTATTATTATTATTATTATTATTATTATTATTATTAT